GAAAGCAAAAGTTGTGTGCATACCATAAGAGCACGGCTCCTGCATTCACTGTCTTTAGCTTTTTGTTCGATTGAGCGAACACCACTAAACTATTGGAGGGTGCAGCACCCTATCTATGCAAGCGAATTCTTAGCCTGAAGTAGTTGGAGCACTCTTTCCGTGAGAGTTCCTGAAGCAGGTGGAGCACTCTTTCCTCGAGGGTGCATGCTTCTTGTACATCTTGGAGGGTGCACTTTAAATTCTTCACTCTGTAATTAAACCACAGCTTATTCAGTTCAAGGCAGCTATGGCGACGTCGCTTGTAATTAATCTATTTCTGATGTGGTGTTCCCTTCTCTTCTGTCTGCTGCTGCATGCTGCATCCTTTGATGTTCCCGGTAGAGTAATTTGGTAGTGCAGAGAAACCCCATATCGGCAACCTGGAGCGCCATCTTTCGAAATTCTGACTTTGTTATGGGAACAGTATGAGGATCATGGTTGATGAAAGACTTGCAAGCGTCGGGATATGAGGTCTTGTTGCATCACCAAATTACTCCACCGGGAACACCAAAGGATGCAGCAGGAGACAGAAGAGAAGAGAACACTATGAATTTCAGAAATAGCCTAATTACAAGCGACATCGCCATCATATGGGTCCTATATGCATTACTGTCTCTGCTATTCGCTTGAAATCTTTTTTCTTCTTTGATCCACCTCTGACTTCTTGTACTGCAGTGAAGCAGAAAATTCATGGATGAGAGAAAAAAGTAGGAAAAGATTCTGAGAAAGCTAATTACTATCAATATTTATGAACCTTTTAATAGTTTTCCAATTCAAATAGTTGCAACATGTGTATATAGAGTATCATGAAAAGCCGACTAATTCCCAAAGGGATGCCTTCTACTGGCATTGAAATTAAGAGCAGTCAATCAGAAGTCCTAGAGGCTAACATCAAGTTTCTAAATAAAATGATAGTCAAAAGGATTATTCAACACTGAAAAATACGAACAGAGTATGATAAATTAACGGACAATCTATGGTTCATGAATATTCAGGATAGCTATCCCATAACTTGTTCACTAAGAAGCTGCTGCCAGCTTTGCAGATAAAGAGCTTATGCATTTTCACCCACCCTTTGCCACAGGAAGAGGAGATCTGCATGTCTCTGGTTAACAACTTCCATATGGGGGTGAAGGGTATTCTGATTAAGGTTCTCATTGGTCGGATCAAAACCTTGATACAGATAAAGCTCGATCTCAGCTTTGATGCTTCTGTTCCTATATTCCATCACATGAGATCCAACAAAATACATGTTATAGTTGGAAGTTCGGTCTTTTACCTGGGCAAATGAAGAGAACATTCCGTTTTAGGCTTTTAGCTATATGATAAAAATTAGTTTTTTTGTGTGCACTACTTACTAATTAAAAGATAATCCTATTCATAGAGAATGAAGTCCAGAATATAGTTTGTGATCTTTATCTTACATTATGATATTGTTGTTGTAATGTTTCTTTCTTCAGATTGTGAGTTTCACTGCAAATATGAGTGTTACATATCAGATGACTGCCTCTCACTACTTGTCACTCTGCACTTCATGAATTCAGATAAAGTTGTTGAAATTGAAAAAAAAATGTTAGTATCCTTCCTTGAGTAGGGCCCATGCCAAGTCATCCTAGTCAATAATACATTACTAAGTTTGTTAACCGAAACTGCAATTATTCTGTAGCTCTAGGAAATAGTCAACTTGATATACAAAGAACAGCAGAACCTGGAAAATACTGAAAACCTAGTAAAGTATTTCCATGATTTTTGCATACACACTTATCTGAACCATCAAGTCACCATTTCCAGGGGCAAATTTTGCAAAGTTTTAGCAGAACTGTTCCACCAAATGGCCTCAAACTGAACAACCTACTCAACATGAATTCACAGAACAATAAATAGGGGGACCAGAGTTCAATGTTCAAGAACCTTAGTAGTTGACATAATTTGAATACTCCAGCCGAAGGTTCTTTCAAGATAATGGCATGGGAAAAATGAAAACCAAATTGGATGATAGTAGCAGATTAATGTACCTTATAAAACACTTCGAGAAGACAATGGAAAACCCACCAAGGAGGGGGAGAGGGGGCACAAAAGAAGAGACAAAGAGTAGGAGTAAATTTTGGAAACTTATTCTGAGATCTGTGAAACTTTTAGAAGCCTGCATGTCCTGGAGTTTCTCATCAGATATATGATATGACCTTCTCCCATTAAACATTTTAATATCAACACCAATTGCCTCCCTTCTTATTAAGAGTTTGTTACTTTAGATGACAAAGATATCAAAGGCCATTTGATGAGTGCATTTTAAATAAATTTCAAAAAATTCTTTAAAGTTGCTAAAAAAGTTGTTTAAAGAATGTTTTTTATGCATCGGCAATGACCAAAATAGAAAGAAATATTCATTTAAGATTTTTTTCATGAAGGATATTTGATGTTTTGTCACCTTGATTACACATTGTCAAGAGAGACAGGTAACTGATGCTAATCCCAAAATGTGATGGGAGTCAAGGATTTAAGAAATCCAATAGAGGTTTTATAAGGGAGGTTGCTGAAATATACTGAGAATAAAAAGTTCTTTACATTGAATCATAATAACCCTGGGATTTAACCAAAAGTTATGCCATAGGGCTAATTTTCAACTAAAGATCTCTCATGACAAGCAACTACAGACGTTGCCAAACAGATCACAGTACACCATACAGTACCATACATTGTTCAAATTCATGATAAATATCTTTATAGTTTTTGTACCATCAATAATAAGAAAAGGTTAATGGACACTAAAAGTTAAGCAACTCAACAATCATAGASTCACTAGCTAAATAATGGGACAACACAAAAAGAGTCGAATTTGTTCAACCCATTATCCATGTTTACAAACTGCCACCAACTTCTCACATTAGAAAGTGATACCAAAGTATACTTATCTTCCTTCCATGCTACTCTGTAGTGGCCAGCTACGGGTGCAATCAACATTGGGCTCAGTTTCGTCCAAGTTGATGGTTGTTCTGATCTTGTTCATTACTTTATTTCTCTTGCATATACTCTTCATCTAAAGCGGCTTACACTAGAGATATCAGAGAGTACTACTAGGGACATAAAGGTTCTTAACCCGAGAAAATACAAAAGAATCAATCTTTCAACGGAGTGTTAAAATTAACGAATCTGGCTGAGAAATTCACCATTGTTTCAGTCTTAAATCTGTTCAGTGACTTCACCGATGATTATAAACCTAAAAACCAATCAGTAAAAGACAGAAGAAATTTGTGAAAGGCATACTTGAAAGAGTGAAAGCTCTGTGTTTTGAAAACTAGAAACAACGACCTTTTTCTCCAAAAAACTGACTGGTGTGTTTGTTCAATGTGCTTGAGACTCCGTTCTCTCTCTGAAACAACTTACGGAATAAGATTTAAGGAGAACTATTGTGTTATGAAAATTCAAAACAGAGACTTTGTTTTCAAAAAATACCGATCCGTGATTGAATATAAACGTTCCTCTTCCTTCCCAATGTGCTTGATATTTTGTTCAAGGTTATAGAAAGAGGAGAGTAGATTGGACGTTTGAAAGGCAAATAAGGTAAATAGAATTATAGAAAGAGGAGAGTAGAGAATATAGTCGACCCTTTTCTATGTTATGACGTGATGGACCTCATTTTCTATTCTATTATGAGATCTATTCCTATTTTTTGGAAAAAAAAAAACAGAAAATTGCCAATAGCAATTCCATGGGTTACTAGAGAGAATTTTGCACTTCGCGTAGAAATGCTCCCTTGGGACAATGGAGAGCAAAGAGGCCATCCACGTGACATAACAYTAATTTAGTATTTATATAAATTCTAATTCATTTATTCTCCTTCTAGCTCTTATTTTTATTGCATTCTTAATTCTTGTCACGATTTGATAAGCAAGCAGTTTGCACCTTTGATTGATTTTTAGAACTCTCTATACCTAAATAAGCTGCCCTAATTTTACTATGTTCACAAGTATACCTAGAATGGGACCGAAAAGAAGAAGAATTGGAGTTCAATTCTCTCTATCGGTCAGAGTACGAGCATCCTTAATTATTAGAGGAATTCCCTACCAAAACTTCGCTCCTTGAATTTTGGACAAGTCCGTCAAAGCACACTATCCGAAGACACAACCAATATTGTTTTAAATTTAAAAACCTTTTTATCTCAGCTAAAGTAGAACTGTTAATTCTGGTCTGGTTCGGGACAGGGTGGATCAGTTTCGAACTGATTATTAGTCGATTCTATAAAATAGATCCAGAACTGAAACAGTTATTAATTGTGATAATTGGGTCAGGTTTAAGACAGGGTGAACCAGTCCCAAACCAATTATTAATCGGCTCAATAAAATAGATTATACTGTGGTACCATGTCTTTCCAATCAGATGGCATTTATCAATATTCACCGGTGGGCTTTGATTGGTCAAAGCTCTTTCGGTACCATGCCTTTCAGGCATCATAGATTTTTCCTATTAATTACATAATCAATTTGAAACTGCAAAAGTTGGTCCCCACCCAATTATAATCAAGACATAATTGGTTCAGTTGGTTTGGTTCTATCGACCCGACAGAGCTGATGTTAAATTTGATTAGACGACGATGATCAGTTCATTAGTTGAAAGCTTTGAAAGATGCTTGCATCCTAAGAGCTTTTGTGTTAGATTGGTCAGCTGCATTGAGTGAGCCAGCCACTTCAGAAAAGCCCCCGAAGTAGTTCAACCGGAGAGTCCATTTTTTGTTCTTGTAATCTCTATTTTCGGCTTTACATTTTTTGTCAAACATGGCYTAACGGCGGGCTTTCTGGGTTTCTCAGCTCATATAACGCCATCATAAGCCACTGAGTGAAAGCAAGCCCTTGCAAACAGCCCAAAACTTAAAAGCACAGTAGTACATATATAAGACAAACATCACGAAGCAGCACTCTACATTTTAATACATTACATAGGTAAGAGAAGCCATGAAATACTAGTTAGGGTGACTGCAACTCGGTGTAAGAGAGATTGTTGATGAGGGCCAAAGCGTTGCTGGTGAGCTTGGCGACCCTGAGAATTCTCTTCTTGATTGTGTTCTTGACCTCAGCATTGATGTCGTTGCTGTCGATTCCGTCCACGCATGTATCGTCGTTGGATAGAGCCGCACTCACCCAAGTCTTTATATTGCTCATCTGGAAATCGACATTAGAGCCCCCCAATTCCTGCATCTGCCTTAAGGACTGCTTCAGCTCATCAATGGAGTCTCCTATTTCTTCCACACAGTCTTTCACGGCGGCCGCTTCCCTGGGCATCAGGTCCTGCCGTTGGGACATATTCGAAATCATGGCCGATGTCGACCTGGCGCTTTTCATGCTTACGTTAAGAGCTGTGTAAGCAAGCTTCATATGGCTGGTTTGGATAGAACTCGCGTAGGATGAGAGAGAAGTGTAACATAACTGTGGGTACAGCGTCACGCCGCAGGATGATCGAATGAAGTTGGTGATGGTGGTGTTGTAGGAATTGCTGGTGATATTGTTTGCCGCTGAGCAGGTTTTCATGTTTGAGCCAAAGCCCAGAAAAGCGACAAGGGCTACAAGAATACAAGCTCTAACGGTATAACCTTCCATCTCTCTTCCTCTCTGAAATTTGTTATTTGTGGCGATTGATCAGTTGCTGGGGGACGACCCTTTTTATAGGGGAGCCGTCATCAGGTGAAAGTATGTTCGAGAGGTTCTAATGTAATGCGCTGTACAACCGAGGTGCATGGATGATGGATGATGATGGTAGAGCTTACCTGGAATCTCTCATTGGTGGGTCAGTGATGGATTGATGTGAATATGTCCGTATACGGCTATGATTTCACCTGAAGTTGGACGTTGCAGTTCTATGGGGGCTATGCTACGAGATTTCAAATTTAATACGGTGGATCGATAGAGATGGATCGCAGAGCTGGTTTTTGTTTGGAGTCAGAAGTGGGATCGATCATGTGCAGCCTATAACGTGAGGAAGAAAAAAGAGGCTAGACAGGACAAGTGTGAAGCCTAAAATGGTTAAATTCGTTACTAAGTCAACGTTCCTTGATGAAGTTTCCAACATCTCACATGTTCTCTGCATTTGCAATCTTCATTAATGGTCGCGAGATTCAGTAGTATCGATGCGCAAAAGGTGGCACGATGCGAGGCTGAGTTTGTGCTGGGTTTTGTTAGGCTCCGGCGCTACGCTCATCCCTGGTAGCTGGTGCGGAGCTTCCTCGAGTGGGGCTTTTACAGGCATCCAGACAGCAGACAGGCACCGTTGTCAACCAGAGAAAAATGGATGAGTAATGGATAAGGAGTCGGTTATTCGAAGAAGGACCGAAAAGTTGGTTAATGTTTCTGAAAATCTTACCATTAGGTGAAGCAGACATTGACGGGTGAAATTGACAATAGTGAGGGGAGGGAGGAAAGGAAACGAGTAGCACTCAAGCAACAACTTAATTTCTATTGATTTGGACCGAGTGAATGAGAACTTGTCAATGGCTTTTAATGATAGGGTCGTTAAGGATTTAAGTGTCAATAGGTCATCAAAACAACATTTGGATTGTCTATATCATGTGATTTAGATTTGGATCCCGGCCGGCTAACCCTAATTTTGGGTATGATTGGTTAAAAAAAAAAGAAAGGTTTGGTATATATTTATTTTCTCCTTGAACATTCATGGTTAATTCTATATGTTGGTATATAAATTATTGTTTTTTCTTTTTCTAATAAAATAACAAATTTTATAAGAGAAAAAAGAATAATTACAAATGGCTGTATTAATTAAACCACCTGGCCAAAACAAGCAACCAGGCAATCCGGATCACTTATCCACAAGAATCCTACCCATACCCACAACATATTACAACTGTACATGGGGAACATCTTCGCATGAATAGTAATATATAAATACAAAAGATGTTCCCAGGCTCAGTTTGGAAAAAAGAGTACAGATATTAGAATGGAAAATCTTGTATATGTATTTACACATTTATATATTTGTATTTATACTTTTTCCAAACTGAGTGTAAGAATCAGAAATTACAATACAACCACCAATGTTACTAGGCAAAAAACTAAGGACTTGATTAGCAACTAAAGATGAGTTTTTCAGTCTGATCCATCTCTATCTCTACCTATTCCCCTAACACTTTTAGAGCCTCTTGGGCCCACAAGCATTATTGTATCTACATAAAAATATACTAATCTTCTTAGCTTTCGAATTATTTAACGACTTATAATTCGTCAATTATCAAAAAAGAAAGAATTATTAGAAAAATTAAGATTTGAGAAATTTTGCAATGTTTTGTTTTGGTAGTGGTAAGTTGGTCACCCAAACAAAACCCCAAAAATTTCGCATGAATTTCCTCTGGACAAAATTTAGGAATCTTTTCTAAAAATTTGGGATTCATCATCATATATATCTAGCCTGGAATTTTGGAATTTTTTATAAAGCTAACAAAACAATTTAAATACTGGAAATGTTCTAAAATATTAATAAAATTAAGCATTCTCCAGGAATTTGAACTATTTTTAAGTTTAATTCCAGACTTCGGGTTCTTAACAAAATCTCGGAAATTCAAAACCCTGATTTCATTAGGTAGTAGCATTTAAGAATAAATAATTACTAGACAAAAATAACCCTGATCTAGCTGTACTAACAAAGGGGACTGTTTCCTTTAATAACATGTCCTCTCCATTTCCTTGCATATAGCTGCCACCACCCATAGTGTCCCTCATGAGCAGCTACATGTAGGAACTCTAGCTGAACCCAAATAACATTAAACAACTGTCAAGACACCAAAGCAAAGTGAAGGAATAATATCTAAAAAACCTTGGTAAACAAACCATTATTGTAGAGTTCAGATCTGCTAGTAAGAAAACAATACTAGGGGTATCATGGTTCTGTGCCATCTATCTTCAATATATGAGATAGTGAACTTACTCACATTGTGCTTTATTGAAAACTCTTATATGTTGAGTATAAAGGATTGATGTTCCTTTCCTTTTTTTGGGTCCATTACCCAAATCCGTAATCCCCCCCAAGGCTAGTGCAGGTAAGATTTAATCCCAAGTCTCCACTACAACCAACCGGAGAGACCTCAAAACTAGCAAATAATTAGCACCTTGCGATATTCCTTCCATTGTTTGTTATTTAGTAGGTGTTTGGCATCAATGCTGTTTCTTTGAAAAACAATGCCACACATGAAACCCATTTTTTCAGAAAATGCATGATGTTTGATTATCCTTTTTTTTTAGAAAAACATTTTCTCAAATCATGCCTTGGAAATGTGTGGCATGAGAAAATGTCCTTTTTGGTGCTTTCTTGTTTTTTTTTTCTTGTATTGTGTCGCTAGCAATAGTATGCTGACATGGCATTGAAAAACGTCTATGTGACAGAAACAGCAATGGTATATCAAATATATAAAACATAAAAAAAAAAACATTTTCTGAAAAAATAGCATGCCTATACAGCACTATTTTCTGAGAAAATGCCTCTCAGGAAATAACATTAATTCCAAACGCCTTAGAAAATTTGACTCATAATTATTTCTGTATATTTAGGGCCCATTTGGGTGACTTAAGTTTGGTTGAGGGTCTCTTTGGAAGGGCTTCATTTTGATTCAATTGCTTCAATAAACTACTGGAAGAGGCTTGTCCAGATTATTATTTTTTCCAAACATTGCTTATAGGCTTTCCAGACGGCCCGCTTCACAAAGCTAACAATCATTTCTTGAAAGGCCTCCCAAACGGTCACTGGGTGGCTTTTGCTGTGCTGCTTGGAAAGCTAAGGACCAGCTTAGAGGGCTGAAGCCTTAATTGAGCTGCTTTAAAGAAGCCATCAAAACAAATATCGGCAGAAAGCCAAGATTTTTTTGTTATTGTTGTTGTAAGATAGCTAGTTTGGGTTTGTCAGAGTTTTCACCAAACATTACCAATGGGCCATCTAGGTGGGACCCACCTTGCAAAGCCAAAAGCCACTGATTAAAAGCCCTCGCAAATGGGCAATCTCCCAACTGGGCACTCAACTTATTTCCACAGTAAAATAGCTGCTTGTTGGAGTAAATAACCCTTAATCAATGCGAAGAGCTGCCCAACATCAATAATAAATGGTCTCCATGCCTCGTTGTGTGTCATTTAAAGCTTCACGATTCTATATCAATATCATTCGTTATCACTTCACATTGATTAAAACAGAGAAACAAAAGAAATCGATCATAACTATTACAGCACTGTTGTGATGCTGCCAAATTTATCTATTATCGCATTCATGTATGGGATCCCATACGGTTGGAATAAGGTTTAGATAATGTTGATGATGATGATTTGAGCGATAAAGAAATTATATGGTCTTAATGAACAAATTAAATTAGGGCTCGACTCCATCCTGGCAATTCTAGAGCTACACGCATTTAAGCATGCAGAATCAAAGCAGCCCATGTGGGTTATTGATTTTTCAACAATTAAGTACTTAACCCTCCTTCGTAGAGAATCTACTTGCATTGAATGCGCATGGATCCCTTCTAAGCCAAAAAAAAAGCCTGAAATGAAATGAATGGATGGTTTGCAAGTAAAATAACTATACATGGTTATTCGTTACCTAAGTAATCTAATAACAATTTCTTGAAGAGCACACTTCAAATTAATCCACTCTCTAATCATCCATAAAAAGGTAATTAAGACTATAATTAGATAATGGAAACTGTTGGTAAAATTAACATATGGACAATTGTTTCTAGGCCTGTGATTTTAGGGCCTCGTACTCGGCTTGATGAATAGAGCATATACTCTTTCTAATCTAGAATAGTGAACGACAAAAATGCCCTAGGAGTGTGTGTGGGGTGGGGGGGGGACTGAAGTGAATGCCCTTGACTCTATGTTGATTATGCACATATTTAGTCCTTAATTTCTTATATTAATATTTGAGTTCTGTTTAAATGCTAATGTATCCTGGTGCAACAAGGCATTGAGGCATGTGCCTTAAGGTCAAGTAAGCTCAAAATGCATAGCATCATCTGCCTTGTGGATAGTGCCGACTTGTATAGTTGGTAAGGTTTTGGTAAGGCGTCCAGTTGTTGGGGAGATTTGAGATCAAATTCCGCTGTCACCATGACTTCGGGGGATGGTATAGATTGGGGCATGGGCTACTCCCATTTCATAGCCTATGAAGCTAAAAAGTTAAGAAAAAAGAAAGTAGCTTACCAGGGTAGAGTCCTATCAAATCACGTCCCAAACCAGGGTTGGGTTGGGGTGGGTGGGGGGCGGGGGGTGTTAAAGGAATGGAGGATGGGCTGCTCCTGTTGTGGCGCATAAAGAAAGAAAAGAGGCTTAGGCCTCAAAATATTATTAGGCTTGTGCCTCACTGTCTTTTGTCTCAAGTGCCTTCTCATCTAATCAGTCTATAAAAAAAGAGAAAAGTTATATGATAGTTCTAAATTTCTTAAAGACTTAGGTCACGTTTGGTAATGCTTAAAAATAAGTGTTTATTTGGGCCATTAAGCACTTATTGGTATTTGGGAAGTATGCCCGAAATTTTCAGCCTTTTTTAAGTGCTTATACAATAAACATTTATTCAATTTTTTTCTTTCAAAATTCTCTAGTTGAATTTT